AAAAAACATTAACTTAATAAACAAACAAAAACAATATGAATTCAAAATCATATAAACACAAACGGTTACACACAACATAAACAATGTGTATTAATTGACTAAAAACTTGGAATAACAGTGGAAAAAAATTAACGTAATATGTATAACGAAATAAAAGTTCTTTACTTTAAACAAATATTATTATACATCCGGTTATGCGACGCCGGAACTCCGAAATTTAATTTGTAATAAAAATATCTTAAGAAGACGCATCCATAATTTATTAGCGAAAAAATGACTTTAGATAAATGTGCATCCGATTATCCTATCTCTAATCATAATATAAAGTTTTCATAATATACATAAATTCTAATTTTATGGTTTCATGTGTTAAAAAATAGACAAGCGCTTATGATAACATTAATAATTTTATATGAATTACTAATACCTACAGTACCCCTAGCACGAACCATTATCGAATTCGAATAGTTTGCAAACCGAAATGTCAATGTCAAATTTTGTATGGAAACTTGAACAGCAGCGGCACAAAGTACGTAACGAGAACTAAAAATCAGTACACATTTGACAATGACATTTCGGACTCGCAAACGATACGAATTCGAAATTTGGTTCATGCTAAGGGTACTGAAATAATTAAAAAGCTCAAGCTTTTCACCCTTAAATCCAATACTAATATTTTTATTCAATAAGACAAGTTCTAAGTAGAGTTAGTGACTTTTATCACCTGTGTTAAAGACCTCCATATTTTGATTAGAAAGTGCTCGTCAGAAAATAGTGACGTTTAATCTTAGATTAAAACAAAGAGGGAAGATACGGCATTCGCGGCTCAAAAGTGATCCGCTTAAATTGTGGTCCACGACCATAATTCGCTTTAATCACAATTTGACATTCAAACACGCTGCATGTACACTCAATATAACAATATTGCGTATATTCTGTGTTATGCAGATATAACGATGCCTTCGATGCTTTTATAAAGAACACAAATAGTTCATAATCAAACACTTTTCATTCGTAAAACTGTGAAAACATTTTTCTCAAAAATCACGGTTTGTCGTGAATATTATTTACGTAATCGCCATTTTGTGAGCAAGAAAAGGACAACAATACGCTGCGTTGAAGCGTATAGTTCTGTCTCGCTCGCTCGATTGATGTTTATATACAGACGTGTGCGTGGCGAGAGTTGCCTATGTAGTTGAGTCGGATCATATTTTATTTGATTCTAGCATGAGCGTACCGTATCTACCCTTTTTGTTTTAATCTAAGCGTTTAATAGATTTTCTTTTTCTAGCACATGATTTCTTTAGATCCAGAAGTTACGTAAAGAATCTCGCAAAGCTCACGTACACCAAGTTGCAAGTACAAGTCTACATAACATTTACTATAATTAATCGAGACTGCTGGCTGTAGCTTAACCGGGCCAGTAACTTATGCAACACTTAAAGCTCCGCTCGCCTCAAGTACAACAATCTTGACACACTTTTACTGCTTCACTCGAGTAATATCGACTAAATAACACACTTCCTACACAGAATGGTGCACATTTTAAAAGATCTTGTGCAAATCTATTAGATTTCTTCTAGATAATATCAATGTGAAAGAACTTGATAAGTCAATTGAGTAATACGAGTACATAATATGAATTATAGTCAAGCTATTTATATTCCTTTACGGATTGCAAAATAATATAGTTAGAGTCTGTGCGGAAAGAGAATGGGCGTGGCGAAAAACGGAACTAACATTAAGATTTTTATTTGGGAATCAAACCCAGCAATCTGTAAAACGTCAAAGTTTTGTATTGATACGGATTTGTTTGTTGTTGTGATTTCTTGTGGTTTTTTGTAGTTAATCATGTCTTAAAGGGGTAAAACCTTACAAATACGGTAGAAAAGCACTACAGCGCCCTCCAATCTAAATCCCATTCTCTTTCCGCACAGACTCCATAATATGATTATGAAGTGAAAACTTCTTTAGTGGCGTTGTAAACTATTTTTTGTATGGGTAAAAAATGTTAAACTCGCGTCATGACACGTGGGCTGATCGCATCACAGGTCACGTATCCTGATCGTAAGACGAAAACAATAAAATTGGTAACGTTGTTGACTTTCAATATATTGGACGAATCAAAGTAATATTTATTTATTTCACATTGCTCATGTACTTTATTTATTATAAGGTTTTACATAGTTAATAGTGAGTGGTACATGACCCCGTTGGGGTGTTGCAACAAACTTGAGCTTAACATTATATATGTTTAATCGGGCATTATACATAATGCACGGACAATATGAATAATGCCCAAGAAAAGCCGGCAATGTGATTATAACCAAACAATTTATCACATTGCCCGGGCATTATGAATAATGCCAAGTGCCTATTGGGCAGAGTGATGTAAAGCATGTTTAATACTTTCAAATGAATACTTAGTTAGATAGACCGAGCATTACAAGTAATGAAATCAATTATCGGGTAGAGTAATAATAAAAAATGTTTTATAGTTTAGTATTTATTTTGAAAATTTAAATAATCATACTTCGGTTTTACTTCGATCAATTTACGGAGGGCTACATTTAGAAACTATAGTCTAGTAGTTTCAATGCAGTTTGTTTGAAAAATTCATTAAATCTGTTAAATGTTCAGAATTTATGGTTCCCTATTTTTTAGGATGCAAGGTCTAGGGAAGTAAGAACTAGTACTTCTGCCTTATCTCCGGCGCTGCGGGAATAGCAGCCCCTCCGCCTTTGCGTGACAAAGTCACAAGCATCACTCCCCTTCACACCTCAGGCGCTACGGGTCGCACGATTCTTGCGGCTTTGTCACAGCAGGCGGGGGCTGCTCTCCCTCCGCGCCTCCGGGCTCTAAAAAACACTATAGGGGTAGGGCAGACCAAGACCACGGCGTGTCGGGGTTGACCAAGTCGGTTCTAAATTAAAAACTGTTGTAAAGCCACATTTACCTTTTATTCAAAGTATTGAGCCCATACTATTATTTATTTACCAAGACCTCAAAACTAACACAAAATGACGAGGCATCTGTCATTTTGTCAACAGTACCAACTTTTTGAATTTATTCATACTGCCCGGTCCAAGCGATAAATTCAAGCTATCTCAAACACCGACTTATTACATGGACCACGAGCCGTCCGGCATTATTAATAATGACCGGGCAATGTGATAAATAGGTGAGTTTAGATTGTAATTAATCACTTGGCCCGACATGGCTGGGCATTATTCAAACTGCCCTGGCATTATGAATACTGCCCGCATTAATCACTTGGCCCATTACATATACATTAATTTCACGGCGCAAAAATACTGTAGCTTAATTCATATTAAATCAAATCAGGTCCAACCAAATTTAAACAAAATCAATCTAATTTAAAAATTCATCAAGTTAATTTATATCATATCATGTCATAATAATCATATCATATCATGGTAGTCAAATCAAAATCATATCATAACAAGTTAAATTAAATCAAATCAAATTAACAGGTCAAACATAATTAAGTTAAATAATAAATATTTTATTTTATCGTATTATTATAATAAGTCTGTATCTAGGATGTCCAGGTGGCAGCTTTATTGCGAAGAAAATGCATTTTTTTTACAATAGATGTCGCTAGGTGCGCTTAAATGAGAAATTCTGAGAGTTAAACTTTTTAATGTAAAATTAATTGTCATGTTTGTGTACAATAGCGCAATAAATAAATATTGTATTCTACCACATAAATTATAGTACTTTTATACTGATAATTAAAGAAATTCGTGCAAAATTAAACCCTAACTTTTCCAAAATATCAAAAATGCACAACGTTAATATTCAAGTTTTCACTTCTGCCAGCTCTCCCGGAGTGCAACTCGTCGTGTTTTTTTTTAGCATGTAACTGCTAGATATTTAAATCCATAGAAAATATTACTAGAACAAATTCGACGCGGACCAGGCAGCAGACGGGACTCGAACTAGCACCCTCCGCTATCTGGGCGGATGCACTGACCATTTTGCTACCGCGGTCTTAGCGGAATTGTTTTTAGTAAAATTTTGTTTAGGCTAATTTAGTTTCCTTAGGGGATTTTAAAAGTAAAACATGATTTTGGGTTAGAATCCTGGGTGTAATATTAACGTTATGAAATGATGAATACGAGCACTTGTACCCCTCAGGTTCGAGTGGTCTAGAGGTTCCAGACGGAGAGGAGACTCCATCCGTGGGGAGATGCCATCCACCTGGAATACCTCTAGAGCATTTTTTTTAAACTGAATAGAACTGAAAGGCCAGTACTCATATGAGCTATTGTTCCTTACACGGCGAACAAGATGACATATAATACTTGTGCCTTTCGATGCCGCTTTGCATGTAAAATTTGGAATTTTCAGTATATAACTTTTCAAATCTTTAACGTAATTAAATGAAGTAACCGACTATATTACTGTTATTGTCGTTAGTTAATGACCTATAAAAGACCTTTAATAGTGATAATAACAGAAAAAAGATTATTATGTTTTCTTACTTTCAATTTTATTCAACGAAGTAACTCATTTGGTAATTACTCTCTCATCTCATTATTGTTGAATTTTAATTAGTTACTTATAACATAATCATTAATGGGGCAACAAGCTTAATGAGGGTAGTTACATATAAATAGGATGATTTGGCTAACTTCACTTAACTTCACTTTCTGCACTTGTGCGCGCTTACTATATTTATAAAGTTCGATTTTTCCCCTAATATAATGGAAGGTTTTGGTACCAATTTAGATATTTTCATGTTTGTTGCAAACAATAGCTGTTTCTCACAGCCCAGTGTGTTATTTAAAGTTTTCGAGAATGCCGTTGATTTGACAGCGAATGAAAATAAAGAATTGAAACAATTCTGCTAGACTTATGTGTGTTCTTTGAGGAATAAATGGATCTCTTGAAATCGTACGAGACACACGTTCATAAAGAAGTATGAGACATGGCTGCAAGAAGACCTAAAATGGCCCGAGTTCATGAAGCAAAAGATGACAAATTCTTTAAGATCTGTAATGCAACAACCATGTTCGAGTTCTAACTTCGGTATAAATGAGGGTGCATCTACATCATACAAACCGGAGAGATGCAGTGTAGGAACATCAACATCAGTTGCGAGTCATAGAAAAGCGTTTACTGAGCTAAGCCCATTACAGAAGAGAAGAAGAGTGGACGATCTCAAAAAGCACAGCATTGAAAGCCTTGCTTATGCAACTGGCTTAAGTGCAGACAACAAGAATGTACCAGATATAATAAAATTGGTCACAGAGCATACTGAAGAGGCTACAAAGATAAAGGATTTATTGAAGTCCAAGAAAACTGTACCCATATATTTTACAGTTTACTGACCTCGTTGAAACTTTCTAAGTGGTAGTATACAACATTAAGAGCTTGTGCAAAAGAAGAAGGAATACCACTATATCCTTCATATACAACTATATTAGAGATGAAGGACTGCTACCCACCAAAAGGTGCCATAGAAATCACAGAAAGAGGGGTAAAAGTAAAGCTTCAAGTGATTTTGGACAAAACTGTTGCTAGACTTGGTAAATTCCTACGTTTGGAATTTTCACTGGATGGCAAAGAGCTAACACTAATATGCAAGTGGGGCTTTGATGGTGCTTCAGGGCAAAGTTTGTACAAGCAAACTATGACTGGTCAAGATGATTCCAGCATTTTTATGTGTTATTTTGTGCCTCTACGCTTACTTTGTGGCGAAGAAAAGATATGGGAGAATCCAAAGCCATCTTCCACAATGTTCTGCAGGCCACTCTATTTCATTTTTGTTAATGAAAATAATTTGAATATTACGGAAGAACAGACTTTGGTTGAAGCTGAGATTACAGCACTGGAACCGTCTATTGTGGGAAGTCATACTGTTAAACACTCAATGCTTATGACTGCGATAGATGGCAAAATCACTTCGCAACTATCAAAAACCTCAACGCAGACTTGTGACATCTGTAAAGCTACACCTTCGGAAATGAATAAGTTAGAGAAGATCTCAGAGTGAGTTTTGAAAAGTTTGATAAAATAATTGCAGCTTGCTACTGTATCTTTTTATTAATTAATTTACTTTCTTTCCAGGTAACCTGCCTCAAAGGAAATATATCAATATGGTTTATCTACACTTCATGCTTGGGTCAGGAGTATGGAGTGTCTACTCCATATTTCGTATAGACTGGACTTCAAAACATGGCAAGCCAGAGATCCAAGCAGCAAAGACTCATTGAAGGGTAAAAAACTAATTATACAGCAGAAGTTCCGTGATGAAATGGGCCTTCTAGTAGACATTGTTAAGCAAGGTGAGTTAAAGTAATAGTCGGTGTTCTTAAACTTTCTTTTGAAGTTATACTTCTTTAGGCGCGTTATGAAAAAATGATGAGAGTGAAATTTTTAGATGCGCGCGCATCACTGTAACCCAAAAGTAACAGCATGAAGTTGGCCGCGGGCGCGTTATGAAAAAATCATGTGAGTGAAATTTCGAGATGCGCGCGCATCACTGTAACACAATAGTAACACCATGAAGTTGGCCGCGGGCGCGTTATGAATGTTAGTGTCTTACCACTTAGTGGTTAATAATCCACCATTATTAGACATCTGTTCGAAAGGTACTTTGAACGATCCACGGAGCTCCATAAGATGATCGCGTTGTCAAAAACAATGTTGGCACGCTCGTCGCCTCTGATCACTGTTTTCATATTTATAATATTTATCCACATGTTTCTAGTTTCTATATAGACACAACGTGTTTTAGTTACTTACAAGTGCTAATTACATATGGACTAATAACTTAAATTCAGTAGTGATTTTAATTGAATATTTTGAATATTTATTTAATTTTTCAAATTAAAACTGAACTTAATTGACTGTGTTAACTATCCTTTTCCAGTCCTTTTATTATTTTATTGTAATTATTAATTATTTGCATGCAATTAAAAAATATTTTTAATGATGCTAAAGAAGTATAACTTCTCACGCGCGTACATAAGTTACACGCATCCATTTTTTTTTCAAATGACACTAGTTATTTTATTTGAGAAGCTGTTGCTTTTTTATTTCGGGAACAAACACAGACAATGATGGAAACACAGCGAGGAAATTTTATGTGATCCTGCCAAAACTGCAACTATCACAAATCTGTAAACACAGCTATTACTGATGATATGAAACCTCTTCTCATTAGTGACGGTGCAGACAAATCATCATCATCATCATCATCATCAGCCTATTAATGTCCCCACTGCTGGGGCACAGGCCTTCCCTATGGATGGAATAGGGAGATTGGGCCATGACCCACCACGCGGGCCCAGTGCGGATTGGTGGGTGCTAACGACTGCAAATACAGCCGGGACCAACGGCTTAACGTGCCTTCCGAAGCACGGAGGAGCTCGAGATAGTAAATTTTTGGTCACCCATCCAATGACCAACCACTGCGAAAGTTGCTTAACTTCAACGATCGCAGCCGAACGCGCTAGCCACCTGCGCCATCGAGCTCCTCGTGGTGCAGACAAAGAGAACATTGAATTTGTCGATGTTAATGCGTCAATGCTGGACTCGGATTTTGATGATGGCGAAGATACTCTCTAATAAAAGTTTTTGAATAAAGTTATTATTGCTATTGTAAATAATATTATCAATATTTATAAATATAATTAGCTGTTTATAGTTGTAATAGTCTTAAATTAACCCTTGTATATTTACATTATTTGTAACGATCAAAACTAAATTATTTTCGATTAACAATTGAATAAAATATAAAATTTTATCTATGTTAACTGTTAATTATTAAGCAAATACTGTGCATAATTTTTATTGGGGTTTAGAATAGATTAAGTAACGCTGTATGTAATTATGTTCACCTTTCTCAAGTCTGTAATTGTGCCTTAAAAAAAAATTCAACTCTGATTTTACTGGTATTTTTATCATCTTTTCTTTACTAATGTTAGTGTGTAGTGTTGTTGTATTAACGTATTTTACATAAAAAAATATATGACCATTTGTAATCAAAATACGTGTTTTTATTTAACTCCACTTTTAACTATATGTTAAATCATTTAAGATTAAACTTACTACATATTTCTAATTTAATAAATACTTGCGCGTTCATTAACGCAAAAATAATATAATTACTAATTATTTATTACTTATTATATAAATGAAAATTTATTATTATTATTATATTCAAAGGCACATTCTTATAACTTCACAAATAAAAGTAGCATCAAAAATTTGAAAAATCATATACTGAAAATTCAACATTTCGAATGTTGCCTACACGCAAAGCGGCATCGAAAGGCACAAATCTTAAGCACAAATATTATACGTCATCTGGTTTGCCGTGTAAGGTGCAATAGCTCATATGAATACCAGCCTTTCAGTTCCATTCAGTTTTAAAAAAATGCACTTTAAGTGTTTTCTCCCATACAAAAAAAACAAAATATTTTTTTTCTCATATGAGCTATTTCTACTCACACCCTTCATAGTATAATACTAAAAAGAGGGATGTATACTAAATCCTATCCAATTTTTTTTAATTAATTTCAGACATTTAATTTCTATGAGTATGGAGCTCCATTTTCAGACCACTGTGCGGCCGACAGGGCCACGGTAGCATAATTGGACAGTGCATTCGCCCGGATAGCGAAGGGTGCGGGTTTAAGTCCCGTCTGCTGCCTGGTCCGCGTGAAATTTTTCCTAGTACTATTTTCCTTACAATATATCTCTGCTATGTTTTAATATTTATTGATAATAATCCACCTGAAAGACGAAGAAAAAAAGTTTGTCACCTCTATTGGTGTGAGTGTATAGAAAAATATTGCCCATCGCATGATATTATTGCCCTGTCTGCCGTATCCGATCCTATCCTATCCCTTATCCGTACCCGTATCCTTGTATGCTCTTTCTTTGTTACGTTTTCGAAAATTATTGTATCTGATAAGACACCTATAAACCACACACAACACAACTATAAACCAAATTAAAATTTAATATAAATTCCATTTAACCTAATGTTTTAATGCATTTTTGTTTTAGTTTTTAGTTTAGTTTCTTGAATAGTAATTTATGATATTGGTGTGGTGAGTCGGTTGTTGCAAGCGAATCGATGAATGTAAGAATTGTATTAAATATTCTTTAGTTATAGTGCCAGTGTAACAGTTTTTATTATTTATCTTTATTTCCGTGTTGAATAACTTAATTCATGTTGAATTTGCCAGTAATTGTATTTGCACTATGCTGAAAATTGTTACATATAAGTGTGATTATGTAAGTTAAGGTGTAAAAATGTCGGCCGACCTTTAATAAATAAATAGGCTTATCTATTTGCACCTAAAAGTGAACTCTGATACTTTCAACATATTTTATTAGGTAGGTTCCCATTCAACATGTGACAAGTGTACCTTTTGTAGTGTGTAGAGTTTTAGCTCACGAAAACTATCATAGTTTTCGTAATTGTAAATTATGTTTCTTTGTACATTTTGGTGAAAAGTAACCAAATATGCTTTAAATTTAAGAAGACGCAAATGATTTAATGATAGAATTTTAACACTGTTTATTTGTATTGAAATGAAAACAATAAAATCAGTATACCCTTAGTACGAGTGCGAGCTCACGAAAACAGCTGAGAAAATATATTTGAATAGGTAATGGTATATAAAACCTTCTTTTATATATATCTAATATATGTTACTTAATATATTTCCCCACATATACAGAGCGTCCCACGGGTTTATCACACAGAGGGTAAGTATATTAAATATTGAAGATAACCCTATCTTCAATATTTAATAAGATTTACTGAAATAAGACATCATTTTATTTTTAAAAAGAACTAGAACCGCTTTCACAGATTTTTTTTTAAATCGCCTGCTTAATTGGGAATCAAAATCGTGAAATATGAAATCGTGAAAGAAAACATATGAAGTATTTTATGATAACCATCGAAAGGGTTCATCAAGCTGAGGCTGAGCCCTGATTGGCAATCTCCTTTTATGCTTATTTCTTCCCTCTTTGTTTTGTTGTTTTTATATAAATATAAACAATAAACATTTCCAACACTCACACCAATTACCCTAGCCCCAAAGTAAGCACTGTAAGGCTTGTGTTATGGGATGCTAGGGTAATGGATAGAATATATATACTGTACGTATATAAGTATATTTATTGAGAAATAAATATTAAACATCCATGACTGGAGTACAAATGCTCGTATTCATCACACAAACATCTGCCCCCACCGGGATCGAACCCGCGACCTCTCGAGTCGGCGACACCATGAAACCCGGCGTACGAACCACTCGACCACGGAGGTCAAACATGAATATAAAATCAAATAAATATTTATATTGTTATTTTTTCCTGTTATTGTGATAGCTAATAAAAACATTTTCTTTCCATCTTTCATCTTCTTTCTTTCTTATTACATCTTTTTAAAGGTTTAAGTTCGGAATTAAAATGAGTTAGTAGTGAGATTTGTAACAGTTTTTTTAAATTCGTTTCCTGAATTTAAACGCACACCGCTCATTAAATGAAACCACTTTTATTTATACAGGTTTAAAATGCATTTTTTGCATTCTCATAGTCATTTTTTTTATTACTGTTAATTTTAATAACAAACATGCAGTCAAATACACTATCCACAGCTTACACAATATAATAAGTATATAATAAGTCTTTGCAATTTATAGTGAGATGCTAAGTAACAACAGATTAACTAGGCACCTATAATAATCACTTAAATATAATTGGATCCTATTCTATGGCACTCAACTGTATAAGTAAACGGTGGTGCAAAATCTGACTTTAACAAATAGTCATAACTCATAGAGTTATACTCATAGAGTTATACTCATAGAGTTATACTCATAGATTTATACTCATAGAGTTATACTCATAGAGTTATACTCATAGAGTTATACTCATAGAGTTATACTCATAGAGTTATACTCATACAGTCATACTCATCGAGTCATACACTATGAGAATGCGCCCTGAAAAGGATACACCACCAAAGATTTATTTTACTGTGATCTTCTGTAAGTTAGAGGTTCCTTCTCCAGAAAAGTGATAATGTCTACAAAAAATACATTAATTAACATAAGGAGTAATATTATTGTTGTTCTATTTGTCAATTTTATTCTTTACTAGTTGCCCGCCCTCGCTTCGCTTCGGTGTAGAGCTGTAGTGTAAACTATAGTTTTTGTTCTCAGGCTTGTGCTATAAACAATGACTTTATTTATATAATTACACGTGTTATTGTGAGTCAACCATAAAAGATAGACATATGCTGTTGCTGGATATTTTTTAGACAATTTTATGTAGAATATTTCCGTCATACATGATTTCTTTGTAACTTTAACCATTAAGGCTGCACACGCCACGGAAGCTTAAAAAGTGGAGTAACTTCTCCCGTTTTCCCAACATTTCCCTTCACTACTCTGCTCCTATTGATTGTAGCGTAATGAAAAGTATACTATAACCTGCCCAGGAGTATGAGGAATAATTGTACCAAGTTTCGTTATAATCCGTCGAGTAGTTTTTGTTTCTACACACAGACAGACAGACAAAAATTTTACTGATTGCATTTTTGGCATCAGTATCGATCACTAATCACCCCCTGATAGTTATTTTGAAATTATATTTCATGTACAGAATTGACCTCTCTACAGATTTATTATAAGTATAGATTAAAAGTGGTACCTTAATCATTTTATTAAGAAAAATAATATATTTTACGAAAGCGTTTACAATCTTACCTACTAGAAAGTTACTCTATAACTTTTTCTTTATCAGGTAGAGTAATCTGGTGCATTGTGTAAATGGGTCTCATATTTCTGAGACTTTAACAATCTACTAACACAACTTTAAATATTATTATACAATAAAACTTAATTGTTGTATATTTCCATTTGAAGCTAATAATATTATTGGTGCATAATACATAAAAAAAAACTAAAGACAAATTGCGTTCTTTGTCAAAATTGTTCATCGATATAACGTATATTAAACAAATTCCATAATAGTTTTTGTCATGAATCCACGTAGAGGATGATAAAACTTTTTTCTTAAGTAGGTATATGCTCTTTTTATGTAGTTTTTGTTTCCGATTATATTTAATTTGGTTTTTCGCGTTTTGTGATCTTTAATATAATTATTTTATCCCAAAGTACTATTTTCATTTTATTAGTGTCTTGGGCAAGGCGTTAGCCAGGTAATCGGCCAAAAGAACCTGGAAGAAGCGAATAAATTCTTCACAGTTTTATTGAATTTGAAGGAAAGTAACAGCAACAACTTTAATCAAACGCAAAGCTTAATTGACGTCTCTAAGGCCGTTAAAGTCATATAGGTATTAAAGATTTTTTTGTCTTTATGTATATTAAAATTCCGATAAAGTCACAAAAGGGTATTTTTTACCTATAAACCTATGTGGTTATCAAAAGCGCACGCACAATTTAACGTAAACACAAAACAGAGATGGCTTATTGTCACGTTCGCGATACTGAGCGCGCGCACCTTAACGCATGCGCAATAAAACTAGTTGCTCGCGCGCCGCGCCTTCCATTCGGTTGACAACGACCCTTGCGCACGCACGTCGACATGGCGAAGGAAGACGTCATGAAAGCTGGCCTCTACTGCATCAACGTGGTCTTCGCAGTCTTCGGACTCGTGACCGCAGCAGTCGGAATTTGGTTCTTCGTGCAACTGGCCGAGTTCGTTGGCCTCAGGAACAGCAACCATTACTTATTGGACTACCGTGTCTACTGGCCTCAAGTGGCGCCATGGCTCTTCATCCTACTAGGCGTCTGCATCATGTTTGTCGCATTCTGTGGATGGTGCGGTGCCAGTAAGGAGAGCAGAGGATTGCTCGGAATATACGGTGTGGTTATGCTAGTTATAGTGCTACTTCAAATAATATCTGCAGTGCTGATTTTCGTGTTTGTTGACGGAGAATACACGGACAGGTTCATCAAGGATACAGTGTACGATGGCTACTACAATTCCCAGTCGAATCCCGATGTCTACCGCCAGTTTGGCAGGATTGAGAGGAAGCTGAAGTGCTGCGGTGCTAACGACGCGAGAGACTACAGGAGTTGGAGAAACGATTTACCCCTGACTTGTTGCGCTGACAGCTACTACAGGGCGACTTGCGAGTTCACTGACAAAGAAGCGAACGAGAGATTGGGATGCGCTAAAGTCGCCGCTGTTTACACGAAGATCATCAGCTCTTCCATCGCCGGAGCATCGCTTCTGATCGCCATTATTGAAATTACTGGTGTAGTGATTGCGTGGAAACTGTTCCATTCGTTACGGGAGGTGGAGCACTACATCACTGAACGGAAGGAGGGAGAAACGGAGTGCTAGGTCGTAAGTGAACCAGTATTACTATACAGTCACAATATTCGATGTCCCGCCATATCTTTTAACGATCCGAAACGATTTGCCTGAAGTAACTTAGCCTGTAGTTGAGTGGTCTCCATGGCGCCTCTCGCTTTTATGAAAAGTTTGCCTCTTTTGTTTAGGGATGATCAAACTTTGAATACGATAAATTAAGACTTTATACATTCCTCTGTTGCCTGTTGTCACTGAAACTTTTTTAAATTATATTATTATTGTGTAACTTTTAGAAAATCCCATCGTATAGTAACTTAGTTGTAAGACTCAGTTTAGTGACAACAGGTATTCTATTAGACGCATTCTTAGCATAAGTAGAATCTCTAATGAATGGTTATCTCAGAATTCTTAATATTGTATGTAATAAGAGCTTTATTGTACGTAGCATTAAATACAGAATACTTTGATAGCATGACATCAGTGGGCAGGTATTTAGTGCGCCGTTAAGCTGCTGTGGTGCTTATGATCTGTGGCATAAGTGTGGATATTGTGTGAAATTGTTATGTGTATTTAATTGACCAGAAGTGCCACTCCCAGGGTCAGGAGTTAAGAAGGATTTGAGTGGGTTCAATCACTCGCATCCTCCGGACCCTGGATTTTAATGAGGTTCAATTGGCCCTCTACCTCGGCGACTGTTAACTTGTGTTACGTGTACGTACATCGACCGCTGGTTTCGCAACCTAACGAAGTCGTTTGCGCAAACGAGAAGCCATGGACGTCGATAATGCCGCGTTTTGACACGGCTCGGCGGGGATCGGCCGAGGCTGAGGAAATTAATGGATGGATCGAGGCACCGATCTCTGCGAAGATTTTGTTATTGATTTTAATAACCTTTGGCTGCCTTCGATCTTACGTCATCTGAGAATATAGAATTTTCACCGAAAACTCGTTTTTTGTTTACGCCGTTTAAACGCTTCCACGAACTCATTGTTGCTTTGTGTTTGTCAATACATTTCGTGTATTCTTTGTATTACTGAATTCTGAATGCAGATTTTGTAAACTTATGAATGGAAAATTGAAAACCCTTTTCTTGCAATAGTAAAAGTTGAGTCACCGCCAATTGAGTCACATAGTAGATGGTTATATCACTTTCTACGCGCTGCGGCCGCACAGATCTCTCTATGAAAGGTTTGAGAAAAATGTGACCTCTTTGGTTCTATTGGCAAAGCGCGAGTACTTTTTTTGAGGCCAGCTTACGTAACCAACAGGCCGTGTCATAGCGTTGGCCAATACTCTGTTTGGATACGCTCCATTGCCACATCTATATGTTAATTTTTACGTAACATATAAATATACTATGTTACCGACATACTTAATGTGAAAAAAACCTTATATAATGTATTAGAAATCTCTTTTGGAATGCTCGTCTGTGTATGTATATTTTTGTTAAAAAGTCTGTATGTAAAAATGATTTGTTTTAGTATATTTTTTTCGTCTTTAACTATGCTTCCGTCCATAATAATGAATAGATAAATGAAGCCATATTATTGTATTGCAATAACTTATTTAAGTAGAATATACTTTTTAATCAAATGTGTGTTTATGACATACCAAAGAGAAATAGAGGTACAAACAGTTTATATATTATATTTTTTTAAACATTGAATAGAAACGATATATTTTTGCATGCAATAATATATATTTTATCATAATAATTACAATATCACTTAGCCTATCAAACAATACTTCTGATGTTATGATAAATAATATATTTTTTTTATAAATAGTATTTAAGTTATTTTTATACCATTAATTTAAAAAATGAAATTGTTATTATAACGCGAAACTAGTCTTAAGTACGTTTCGTTTGTAATAAAGAGAAAAATATGTTAAAAATATGTCTGTGTTTTTGTTTAAAATCATGATATCACTTCTAAATTTATACTTAATCGAATTCTACATGACTGCGGTCGAAAGGTGATTTAGAATTCTTGTTTGGCAAGTTTTTAATTAGGTGTATATCTTTCCACGGCAATGTTGCCTGTCTGAAGACTTTTTAGTAGTAATTTGACATTATTACTAGCATTTTTGGAACGATTTGGAACGATAAACCTGTTCAAATTAAGAAAATTGAAGTATAAAAACAGCTATTTTTATAGGAAAGCAGTAAATGTTCAATCTAATATAATAGGGATGATGACTAATTTTTTTTCTTCGTTTATTAGGTAGATTATCAAAAAGTATTGGACACGTATTTTTTATATTTTCACATAATATGAACATTGCAGAAATATATTGCTTTGAAAAGTCGCATTGCATGACGTCACGTTTTGGTACAATTTTCACTTAAAAGTGACGTCGCGAGCCCCTACTCCCAAACTTTGACGCGCTATAACTTTGGCATTTTTTGGTTATTTGCCCAAAGAAAAAATACGTGTCCGTTATTTTTTGATTATCTAACTGACGGACTAAATATAATTTCGTTTGCTGTACCCCGTCAACACCCCTATTTGTTCAAATTAAAATCAAACCACAAAGCCGAATTGTGCGTTAGAAAAGTTTTAATTGAGTTAGGGATGATCGATATTAGAAAAACATCGATATTGAGATCGATTTTAACATCGAATCAAAAGTATCGATGTACGATAAATATCGATAGAAAAACATCGATATGTCTAAAACATCAATGTTTTTGGAAACAAATAAATCTGTCTATTATATTTATAAAATGTTTTTATTATTAGAAAATGACATTAAATTTAAAAGCCCACTCTTCCTGAGACACGTAGAAATCACAAAAATAATAAGAAAAATTAACATTCCCAGTATTTTTAGGGACACTGTAAAAAATGAACTTTGATAAGTCTTTTCCTTTTAGTCTGTTCCGTTGCTGGTACAGAAGCTGACCACTTAATTGAAGCTAGACGGCGCCCCAAAGAATAATTGACGTTTCGATACTTTTATTCTAGTTACATCGATGTTTCGATGATATCGAAGTCAACCCACCGATGTTAAAACATCGATGTTTTCTAGTAAAATACCGATATTTATACAACATCGATGAATATCGATCATCCCTAAATTGAGTTATTTGACAATAGCGAAATGTGAATATTCCACCGTATTTTCGGAAGCCATAGACGTATTAGGTAGTAAATTAAACAGGTGTGCTTATGACCACATGACTGAAGTGAAACTTCTTTAGCTCTATCAGTATGTATATATATGTGTGTACAATATATAGATGTATGTACATATACTTATTTCATTTACTAGCAATAAAAGAAAGAGAGAAGCAAAATGTGCGCTCGCACTGCTTTTTCATGCCCCACTCAACTCTCGTTCGCCTCGCCTGAACACACTTTTCGTAACGCGTAACGCATTGCACAGCTTACCCCCAACTCAAGCGTGCGTAAAGAAGTTACACTTCGAAAACATAGGTAGGAACTTCCTTTTCTTTCAAACAACATTTCACATTTTCTAATGTAACGTCATTCAGGCATGGTTCCCAGCGTAATTCCTACTAAAGCGTAATTATTTTTAATGTCTTGCCAATTAAGTTTTAATCACTGCATATTATGTAACAAAAGACCTTGTCGCGTCTGTCTGTTTGTTTGCAATGATGCTGATCCCAAACAGTACTGAAGGGATATTCATGCAGTTTTCACCATCTTTATTTAACATATTATTCTTTGTGTATATTATCAATCAGAAATCAGAAATCAATATATCTTCATTCAAATTGGATTATAGTACAACACTTTTGAATCTTTTGAATAAAAGCATAATGTAACAAAATTTATAAAGTATATGTTGTAACAACGTCAATACAATTATAATTTATTTAATATAGAAAACCTGTTGGAATGATTGGAACAGTTCAAACCCAAGCATTTTTGTCTGTAATATAATCAGACACTTTGTAATAAGCTTTTTTAATAAGTGCTTTTTTTATACTATCTTTGAATTTATTTATGCTTAACTCTTGGATATTGCTTGGGACATTATTGTATAAGCGCACACAAAGACCTTTAAATGAATTATTAATTTTGTGAAGCCTAGTAGCAGGTAAAGTTAGTTTATTTTTGTTTCTTGTATTAAGTGTGTGAACATCCCTGTTTTTAAGAAACAAATTAATATTTTTTCTTACAAGTAATAAATTTTCGTATATGTATTGTGATGCGACCGTCATTATTCCAAATTATTTAAACCTATCTATTAAGGAATCCTTAACTAGCTACTATTTTATATATGTTTGAATATTTAAAGGTTAGTAACCTCGTTAGTAAAAACAACAGGCTTACATAACAACTTATACACTGGAGTACGTATGAAAGAAATCATATGTTGCGCCAGATGCTAATTTTTCCGTGCATACATTAAAAGCATATCAGCGAATAAGGTGTATCGAAAACTTTACTAAGCGATGTGTTGAGAACCTGTCAATGTTTTTTCCGAATTTCGGACAACAGTTGAGACCCAAAGGCAGATGTTGATAATAATGCAAAAGCTTATCGAAAAGTGCATTGCATAGGTACTCAGTTTGAGGGTGTAACGTTCGTTAAAGTGTCCGGCACGTAAGTTGAACTCAAATTTTAGTTTTCAGCGCATGTTTTTTCACAGAAAAACGACACAAAACTGAATGTATTTTTTAACAAAACAGTTGCTATGATTTTATTTATTTTTTAAGCATTTAACTGCTAGATGTTTAAATCTAAAGAAAAGTTTACTAGAAAAAAATCCACGCGGACCAGGCAGCGGACGGGACTCGAACCCGCATCCTTCGCTATCCGGGCGAATGCACTGACCATTATGCTACCACGGCCCTATTAGCCGCGTCGAAATTTTCCTAGCCTTAAGCTGCAAGGCAGCGCCATCTCTTCGCATTGTAGGTAACCCACAACATAACAGTTGCTGTGTTTCACTAGATATTTTATCACACTAATATTATAAAGGCGAAAGTTTGTGAGTGAGTGAGTATGTGAGTGTGTATGTTTGTTACTTCTTCACGTCTGCTGGAGCGATTTTAATAAAATTTGGTATGGAGTTAGCAGACACCCTAGATTAACACATAGGCTACTATTATCCCGAAAAAATGTTAGGTTCCAGAGGGATTTTCAAGAAACTAAGTTAACGCAGTTAAGTCGCGGACGACCTCTAGTTGTTAATAATTCTTCAGTGCTATGATGTTTTTCTGTGAAAAAAAAAATGCACTGAAAACTTAAATTTGGGTTCAACTTACGTGCCGGGCACTGTACCTGGTTGAGTTAATTGTGTAAACATTCTTTACGCATACTTGACTTGGGGGGTCAGCTGGCGAATGCGTTAAGCGTTACGAAAAGTGTGATCGGGCGAGGCGAACGGGAGTTGAGTGGGGGATATAAGCAAGAGAAAGCAGTGCGCGCGCACATTTTCTTTCTCTCTTTCGCTTATAGCTAGTAAATGAAATACGTATATGTACATACATGTATATATTGTACACACACAAAAAACATATACATATATATATACATACAGATGGAGCTAAAGAAGTTTCACTTCAGTCGTGTGGTCATAAGCACACTGTTTTTTTTCTTTACTAACTTGTTTCTTGCTATTGTAGTACAGTTATCATTAATTTAACTGTCGCAAGTGACTGCAGCTGCTTTGCAATTGGCGAATTAGATATTAATTAAGTTTAAGTCAAATCAAATTAATATTTCTTTATTCAATTAAGAAGCATATTAACTACTTCTTTTTGCTGAATCGTCCAATTTCTATTCCCAACCTGTTGTGGATATTTTTAGATGTGAATTTTTAGGGCACTTAAGAAATATCTTTTCATTTACACAGTCTTACCTAATGTATTAAACAACGATATTTAAAATACTAATAAGAATAAATTATTCCATTCAAGTCACGTATATTAAATGACTATAATGTGATACTGATACAAAGAAAATATCACGTGTAGAGCAGTATGACATGCGTTTTGTTTCTTTATTTATTATTAGGGAAATAAAAGTATTAATTTGCACATAAAATATATAACATTTAGTTTAAACAACTGCCTAGGTAATTTACACTACTATTCGTCTTACATGGTGTCTAAGAGAGAAAAAAACATTTTTAACTACTACTACTTACTTGTAAGAAAAAATATTAATTTGTTTCTTAAAAACAGTGATGTTCACACAATTAATACAAGAAACAAAAATAAACTAACTTTACCTGCTACTAGGCTTCACAAATTTAATAATTCATTCAAAGGTCTTTGTGTTCGCTTATACAATAAAGTCCCAAGCAATATCCAAGAGTTAGCCATAAATAAATTTAAAGATATTATAAAAAAAACACTTATTAAAAAAGCTTATTACAAAGTGTCTGATTATATTACAGACAAAAATGCTTGGGTTTGAACTGTTCCAATCATTCCAACAGGTTTTCTATATTAAATAAATCATAATTGTATTGACGTTGTAACAACATAATGATTTGTAAATGTTGTTACATTAGACTTTTAATGTTGTGGAGTTTTTTTCGCTCGTTT